TGAATTGCATGCTTTACCACCGGATCGGCCTACATTACTTTGTGACAATCGCAGTGCGCTCTTTCTCACTCAGAATCCTGTCGCTCACAAACGGGCAAAGCATATAGATTTGGACTACCATTTCATTCGGGAATTGGTTGCGTTTGGGCGTCTCCACACTAAGTTTATTCCAACCGGGCTGCAGGTGGAGGATATCTTCACTAAGGGCCTTCCTCGATCACAATTTGTGTTCTTTCAATCTAAACTACGTCTCGGTCCACCACCGCCTCGCTTGAGGGGGGATGTTAATATAAATTGATTATTTCTCATTTATTATTGACTGTCATTTGTTGCAATTCTTTATTTCTTTGTATAACAAATTGTAAACTTCTTTAATATATATATTGCTCCGATGCCCACGTATTGGGATAGGGTTTTTAATTACCTATTAACACAACTCCAGTTTAAAGTAATCCAAGACGTCGATCTTTTAGATCTATCCAACAGTGTTTTCGTTTGAGATTGACTATTTACGACGACACCAATAATAATAATAATAATAATAATAATAATAATAATAATAATAATAATAATAGTAAAACATGTCACTGCTAACATTCACCAAAAAATGGCTACGAAAGTCCCCACCCCCTCATTTTTTTTAAGTCACTATTTTTTCCTATCACCACTAAAAGTTGTTGCTGATATGTACTTTAACATCATTTCTGCTAAAAGTTGGTGTTGTTGATATTGACTTTAACATGTCGTCGCTAATTCTCTTTTTCTTTTCATATTTCTACACTACACCACACACACTTCGAGCTTTTGTTCTGTCGGAGAAAAAAATCCCAATTCGGCAATCACAACCTCTGACTACTCTATTGTTGTTGACAATATATAGGCAACCACCACTACCGCTTGCTTTCACTAAGGTACACAACCAATTATTTTCTGATTTTAGGGTGTATTTTGATTTTAGAGTTTTTCTATATTTAAGGAATTTTGATGATATAATGTGTGTAGATATTGTAATGTATTTGTGGTATGAGGTGGTTTGCGTTGTTATTCGATATTATGATATATATGATCTGTTTGATCATGAGATGATGTGTCTAGAGATTGTAATGACTTAATTAGAATGTAATAAATTAATTAGATAAACCCTAAAGTTTATTTGTTGTGACTGAATTGTCAATTAAGGTGCTAATCGTTTGTGGTATGATGAGTTTGATGTTATGATGTGTTTTGGTTGTTATTTGATATTATAATATGACGTGTTTGATGTTATGATGCCTAAGGAGTGTATAGACTTAATTAGATAATTCATAAAATGTGTTTTTAGTGAATTAATTGTTTAGGACTTTATACATTTTTTATATAAACTTTATGAGCTTAGATTGCTAGCTCTAAACTGTAAGTGTGTTTTGTTTATATAAACAAATAGACTTTTTTTTAATATTTATATTAAAATTTGTTACAAGTGAACACTAATTACAAACAAACATTCCTTAACATATAATTTCCATATGTAAATATAATATTTGAGTTAAAAATAAACATAATATTTCAATTACAATGCTATAATAGAGAAAAAAAACTAAAACGATAAATGGAAGATGATAATCTTGCATTTACACCATAGTATAATGTAGCATTTATAATTGAATTATTTAAAGGACAATGTTATTTTAGTAAAAAAACAAATATAAAATGTTATAACTCACAAAAATATGAAAGTACTAAGAAACTCAAATTACACGGGACATTTGTTTGATGCCAATACAACCATGTCACAAATTTTAGGCTTCACTTAAACAAAATAATATTTAAATTAAAATTCTCTATAAGAAAAGAAAAACAAAATAAGATGCTATAATTAACAAAAATAAGAAAGTAAATTCAATTAATAATTTTTAGTTTATGTGTCTTGCTTTTAATCAACACGAGCTTAGAAATACTTACTATAATTGATTTAAAAATTAATTCTGGATTGTTTGTGTTAGGTCAAACCTAATAATCTGATGAGTGTCAAACTATTTTCACGCCGATCTACACCTCAATGTACCATCATGATGTGAAGTCCTTCGTTACCAACGTGAAGTATTTTCTTATACTCAATGGAACACATCTACATTCTTAATGAATTAGGATCTTATCTTGTATATTTTGTATTAATCTCTGATTTGTAGGGATTTCCATATACTAGTTATTTTCATAGTATATATAAGTTATACTAAAGTTTGATATATTGTGTACCGAATATTGTAATCTCTCTTTGTGAGAAGTAATAATCAAAACCCCTTAATCATAATAAGTTTTTTATTAAGATTCGTGAATTCTTGTTTGCGTTCTTGCTTGCCATCAATTAACGATCCGATAACTGGTATCAGAGCAGGTTCCTTAGTTTTGACAAGCAACGACTTCATCATCTAATTCATCTTCTTCATTCACTTCGTCCTTCATTAACAAGATCCCTCCTTTCGATGAAAGAAATTTCACCATGTGGAAAAGAAAAGTGCTAATGGTTCTAGAAAACAATCGACTATATCATGCTAAGAATTATTGGAAAATGTCCTCATACTACAATGTATCAAGAAACCAAATATGTCATTCCTAGAGATCTGAAAAGAGCTCCTAAACATTCATGGTCTTAGGATGACAAAAAGAAGGTTAATCTTGACGTTTGTGCCAGAGCTGCTTTATGTAATTCCCTTCCTTATGACATCTATTACTTAGTGCAAAACTGTTCCTCAACCAAGGAGATGCTAAGTACGCTGATTGGTGCATACGAAGGCACTAATGAAGTAAGAGAAACGCAAGAGAAAAGTCTGAACCATATGTATGAATACTTCTGTAACATTCCCAAAAAATAAAGTAAATTTCTTATTTTTAAATATAAGAAAACTAGTCAAACACGATTCTAACAAAAAGATAATTAAAATATGAGTTTGAAGTTCCAATAAAAAATTAGAGTAAAATCATGAAAACATATAGCACAAAATGTCTAGTAGACGCGATGCAATCAGGTCGGGCTCTTCCGTTTGCTACTAGAAGTACCTGAAACATTTAAACTTAATCCCGTAAGCACAAATGTTAGTGAGTTCCCCAAGAAACCACATACCAAACATAAAACTGGGCCCCGCCCTAGGTAGATTCCAACCCATGTGAATGTTATGGTCCACCCATAGTCTTACAATCACTTTAGTTGCTACAGTCCCCCTCCAGTCTTTCCTGCTATGGTCCCCTATAGTCTTTCATATAATTTCTGATGGTCCACCATCGTCTTTCATGCAATTCACAAAAATAACAAGTATATCCTGACATCAAGTGTCCTACATAGTTGTTTCTACTTAGCTTCGTGGATGTTTGATAACATTTCGATGGTCTCTTCTTCTAATGCACAAACAAGAAGGCACGTTGCAAAATATAGACAAATGCTAGGCTAGAAATTGATACCGAGGGATGGTCCCCAATATTGCTCTTTGATGCTTAAGTTAGATGACGGTTTGAAGTATTGCTAAACTACATATGGTGAGAAAGTTTTACATCTTTCCTTTGGTGATGCTAGAGTTTTATAGACATTCGAATGGATATTGGTTCCGACTCTTAACCGGTTTCTTGTATAGTCCAGGTATGGATAACTATTTTCCTTGTACCACTTATTTATTATTATAGATACATATATGTTGTGTTTTTCCTAGGATATGCTTTACCTAAGATCTTTTCCCGAGGTGTATTATATTGACCCATGGTCAAGTTTGACATAACGGCGGTTACTTCTTATGAGTACGTTGGGAGGGTCCTAGGTCAGAATTTGTATATCTGGCCGACCCTGGTGCACCATTATGTCCCTCAGTCTGAAGGGTGAAAATGGCGCCAAATTTTTACCGTTTAGACTATGACCACTCTTGGTAAACGAATCGTCGCGCGTGTCTTAGACACAGGCTTCATTAAATGCATCTGGTCATCAGTTAGACATCGATTTAGTTTATTGGATTGTCTAGTAATGCTTAACCGGTCCTTATCTTTATATACCAGATAATAAGATTTTGGAATCTTCCACTTTTTTGTACTTCTTACCTTTTCCACGTCTTCTTCTGCCATGGATTTTGACATGTCATCCGTTCTTTCCAGTGTTGACAACTTTACGTTAGATCAGTATGTTCACAAGTACAAGTTGTCTACCATTCATGGCTTCATTTTGCCTTCTCCTTATTCCTTTATTCTTGAACCTCTGCAAGGAAAAGTAGGGTTTTACTTAAGACACCTTGTTTTTAGGTTAAGGCTTCCTCCTAAATTCTTTTTTCTAGAATTGTTATGTTCGTATGGTGCATATCTGATTCAGCCGTGTCCCAATGATGACTCCAAGATCATTGCCTTTGAGGTGTTTTGTGTGTCACGTCATGTACCTTTATGCATACCATTGTTTCAGTATTTCTATCGCTTAAAGAAATATGGTGATTGGTATGCCTTTCGTAGTTGTCATTTTTGTTTGGTTCATGATCTTCAAAGAACAAACAGTGGGTGGAAAGAAAAATTTTGTTTTGTAGATTCAAGTAGCGTTTGTCTTCCTAACATTCTCGGGTCATTACCAGATGTGGGTAACAAAACTCCTTAGACCCGAGCTTATACAAATTTCTTTCTTTGTTCTCTCACTATTGTATTAAAATATGCTTCTTTCCCGAAGTTGTACTTGCCTTATGTGAATGAGTTCCATCTGGAAATCTCGTGATCAGGTGCCTATCTTATCAGTGAGTTCTCCAGGCATATGAATGTTATTATTGTGTTTTCCTTACATAGGTATCTAGTCTTGACATCATTTTTTTGTATTTACTGAATGCTCGCGTTAATGCTGTTTATTTTTACTTTTGATTGCATTTAATGTTGTAGGAAAAAATAAATGGATGTTCAACTTGTCCCCTTACGTATCTGGCGAGATTTCTCCATGAGACTTGTTTGTAGAAAACGTTATTTATACTAAAGTTCTTCCTTCATCATCCGTTAATCCAACTGGGTTGTCCATGCATCTTGCCGTGTTTGGGGCTAATGTCTTTTTCATGGACCAACATTTAGTTGGTACCGACATTCCCATGGATGATGGGTTTTCTCATATTCTTCCTAGTCTTGATGTTGATACTGAATTGGCCCATCCTCCCGTTTCTCCTCCGAGCACCATTTTGGGTAAACGTAAACGGTCATCCTTCTCTCATCAGTTTAGTGATTTTTTGCATGGGATAACAGACAAGTATGTATCAAAGGCAAATGGTTTGGTTGAACTTCAGAGTTCTTCTGGCCCCATTGTTGATTGTAGGAGTTGCACCTAACCGTCCCCTATCCCCCTCTTTAATTAGATCCATTATTCTCATTATATTGTCCTTATTATAGGGTCTTGCCGATCTTGTAATATGTTGCAAGAAGAATTGGACGAGGCTTGCCAAGTTATTGCTCGAGATGAGGATATTTTAGTTGTTGTTAACAGGAAAGAGTCGAAATTTTATGATGGATTGGTAAGTTTGCATGATCGTTACTTGTACGCCGAAGTGAATTTGTGTGGAGCTGAAGGTACGAAGTCGGCTGGTGAGGAGATATTTTTAGAGGCTGTAAAATATCACGCTGAGATGAGAGATCGATTCTGCACTACTTCTGAGAGGATTTCTTTTTTGGAGAATCAGCGTTCACTTTTAGAGGTTAACTACGAGGCTGGACTTCGATAGAATCATGTCCTACATGCTTCATTTGTTGGGATGTCTTATTGAGTTATGTCTGTCTGAATTGGTTATGCTTAATGTGTCTTAGTCGACAGGGATAACTTGTAAGTGTAACCAATTTGTTGTTGACTTTGTTATTTTATTGACAAAGCTTTTATCGTAATACTCGATGGTTGTAATTACCTTTTTGGTCCTTACTTTCATTTCTCTTTCACCCTTGATTAGTTTTTCCTAGACCTTATGTGTCTTGGTGTTGTATATCGGGGTAATCTTGTAAATTAGGTTGTTGTCCTGCCAGGGTATCATTTTCCTTTTACTGCTCATAACCATATGCTAGTATGATTTGATCAGGGTAATGTTTCTACCTTGTCGGGGTATCTTGTGCCTCTCATGTTATGGGTAGGATCCTTGACTCATATTCAGGATCCTCAAAAATACTTCTGAAGCCTCGGGATCCTTAAATATATTCCGGATCCTAACTATTATCATTAATAATTCTAAAACCCTTAACGGCTACATTTTCTTTATTTTTCTCATATATGTAGAACGAGTGAACCCAAGACTCATTCTTAACGGAGATTCATCTCAACCAGGAAAAAGTCCCGGAATACCAAGTCAACTAACGTTCATATGCTGATTCTGGAGGATCCCAGAATTATCAGACTTCGTATTATTAGCATTAGACTATAAACAACACATGTAACTAGCACACTAGAGACACACTGAGCTCATCCACAATACTTTTACTTACATTTACTCATTCATCTCTGTATTCAACATTTTACATCAATAAAATCATCAAGGCAGGTGATCGTTATTATCTCCCGAGGTTTTATACCATAGATCCTGTCAAGGATCAAGGGCTTTCCTTGTAACCCACTTGTGTCACTTTGATTAACATTCCATACTTGATTTACCACGAACATCACATCCTCTTATATAATTTGGTTAGATTTTACTTAACTGATTTTTGACCAAAACAATTTGGCACCCACCGTAGGGCCGTGGTGTTTAAAACTCTTTGGAAAATCATGTCTACACAACCAACCATATCTTCCTCCTTCATTCCTCCCATTTCCTCTAAAAACCTTCCTCCACCACCAGGGGGGCTCCCAAGAAAGCCTCTGAGGAACCGAAGAAAAACAACTCTCTGGTCGCAACCCAAGGACTTTAGGATCCTCCTGTGCTGAATTACAATAATGAAATCTTTGCCATGATGAAGAGACTGGATCGACAAGTCACTCAACAGCAGGAGAATAACAGGACAATACTCAAGGAAGTAGAGAGAATGAAGGCAGTAATCCACAAGTCTTAAGAAGCAACACCCTCGATCTTCCAGCCCAAGATCCTTAAATTTGATAACACGAGATCCTCAACAATTCGCCACGAGATAGGATCCTCAATACCGACCTCTATTCCCGCTTGGGGTGCAACTCCAAGAGAGCATGCCCATAACAGATCCCCGGCAAAAATAATATCTTATGATGGGACCACGGATCCTAAGGAGCATGTCACACAATATAGGGAAAGAATGAAGTTCATCCCCATTCCCACACACTTGAAGGAAGCTTGTCTGTGCAAGGGTTTTGGTTCGACCCTCACATGATCAGCCTTAAAAATGGCTTCTTAACATTCCTCCTTACTCTATTACTTCATTTTCTTACCTAGTTAATTTGTTTACCAATCAATTTTCTTTTAGCAAAACATTCAAGAAGATCACTTATGATCTTTATCGAGTGGTTCAGGATCCTAAGGAATCCCTTAGGACTTTTGTGAACAGGTTCGGTAGGGAAGCTCTGAGTATCCCCAAGATTGATATGACGACTGCAGTTGAAGTCTTTAAAATGGACTTAATTAAGGACTCTCATTTCTACGAAGACCTTGTAATGACCCCATGCAAGAGAATAGATGAGGTCTAAAGCAGAGCATTAAGATTCATAAGGCTCGAAGAAGACAAGGAGTTCCAAAAAAGAAGCAACCCACCAAGCTCATACGATCACCCTAATAGGAAGGCTGACTCATCGGCACAAAGACAAAGCAAGATGGCCAAGGAAGCGAGAAAAATCCACCTTTTGGAAAGACAATTCCAAATGGTGTGCATACCATGAAGACTTTGTTAATATCACCAAGGATTGCATAAATCTCAGGAAGGAGATCAACTACCTCTTAAGCAAAGGATACCTCAAAGAAATCCTTGGAAGAAGAAAGGAAATATCCAAAGAGAAAGATCAAGATCCTCAGAAGATCCTCGATAAACCGGGATCCTCTCCTATTGACGCCAAGGTAATCAATGTGATCTCTGGAGGATCTGACATTTGTGGTACCTCTTATTCTGTAGCAAAAAGACATGCTAAGGTATCAAAAATAGAAAAAGAAGAAAGTCCACGAAAGAATACGTCAATCACAAACGAGAAAGAGATCACATTCGACAAAGCAGATAGACAAGACATCCATGATACTCACCACGACGGATTGGTGATCACTCTTTACATCGTCAACCATTTCGTCAAAAGGTTCCTTGTCGATGGAGGATCCTCAATCGGTATTATACTCTTAGATGCTTTAAAAAGAATGAACATCCCAAAGTCCGAAATAATCAAAAGATCCTCAGTATTAATAGGATTCAGTGGCGTAACGATACATACAGTCGGCGAAACAAAGCTACCTATCTACATTGAGGGGGTAAACTCTATGCAACGTTTTTTATGTAATAGATACATTATCCTCTTATAATGTTATACTAGGTAGACCATGGATTCACGACATGAAGGCAGTCCCATCAACATATCATCATTGTGTGAAGATGCCCATCCCATGGGGGACAGTGAAGATCACATGTGATCAACAAGAATTCAAAGAGTGCTACAGAACCTCGATGAAATCTTCAACAATACCACAACAAGCATAACAATTAAAGCTAGGGGAACAAGATGTGCTAGGAATAAGAGAGAAAGATATAAAGGAAGTGCCCCTGAACCTAAAGGATCCTGATGCCAAAGTTCTCATAGGATCCTCAATACTAGAACCAATCAAACAATAACTAATAAAGTTCCTCAGAGCTAGAAGCAAGACATTTGCATGGAAGCACGGGGACATGACATGTATAGACAAAAGTATAATAACCCATAAACTTAATATTGATCCTTCTTTCAGACCAATACACCAAAAGAGAAGGAAGTTCGCACCAGAGAGAAACCAAATCATACAAGAAGAAGTAGAAAAACTTCTTAAAACATGAATGATCAGGGAAGTGAAGTTCCCAAGATGGCTAGCCAACGTGGTCGTAGTACAAAAGAAGAATGGAAAATGGAGAGTATGTATGGACTATACGGATCTCAACATGGCTTGTCCCAATGATCATTTTCCTCTACCACACATAGACTCCATGATAGACGCCACAGTTGGTCATGAGTTATTAACATTCATGGATGCATCATCAGTGTTCCGACAAATCCAAATGGAACCATCTGACCAAGAGGATATAAAATTCATAACCCCAATAGGTATATATTGTTATATTTCCATGCCATTTAGTCTTAAAAAATGTAGGTGCAACATATCAAAGGCTAGTCAATAGGATGTTCAAAGACAAATTGGGGGACACCATGGAAGTCTACATTGATGACATGGTGGTCAAGTCAATGAAAGCTGAAGACCATCTCAAGCATCTTGAAGAAGCCTTCGACATACTAGACGAGTGTAATAGGAAGCCGAACCCTTCCAAGTGTCACTTTGGAATGAGATTAGGCAAGTTCCTTGGGTACATGGTGACCAAATGAGGAATTGAAGCAAGTCCTGAGCAAATAAAAGCAATCATTGATCTAAGATTCCCATCCTCGACAAAGGATATTCAAAGACTAACAGGAAGAGTGGCAGCCTTAAACATGTTCATCTCAAGATCCTCATAAAGATGCAAACCTTTCTACGACATCTTGAAGAAAAGTAAAATATTCGAGTGGACTAAGGAGCACGAAGATGCTTTCCAGGAACTTAAAAGATATCTAAGTTCAGCACCCCCATTGGTAAAACCAATAGATGGGGAACCACTTCTTCTCTACCTTTCGAAATCCTCAAACGCGGTGAGTGCAGTCTTAGCTAAGGATTTTAACGGGGACCAACATCCCATCTACTATGTAAGTAAAAGTCTCTTGGATCCTAAGAACATGTACTCTGACCTTGAAAAACTTATACTTGAACTAGTAACTGCTTCAACGAAATTAAGACACTACTTCGAAACACATCCTATAATCGTAAGAACTAATTATCCTATTAAGAATGTTATGAGAAAACCAGAAATGCCATGAAGGATGGCAAAATGGTTCGTAATCTAAGCACATACGACATCAAGTATGAGCCAAGATCCGCAATAAAATCCCAAGCACCGGCGGACTTTGTGCCTGACTTCAGTAATGATCTAAAAGCTGAAGTAGATATAGAAACTAAACGATTCCTAAATGAACAAAACACATGAAGATGGACACTATTTATAGATGGAGCATCAAATTAAAGAGGAACTGGACTAGGGATCACACAAAAGTCGCCACAGGGGGGACATCCTACCCCAGGCAGTCAATTGTGAGTTCGATGCAACCAATAATGCGTATGAATACGAAGAACTAATCATGGGACTATAACTAGCCAAGGATATTCAGGTATATGTCGAATCCTTATTAATAACTAACCATTTTAATGGATGCTATGTAGTAAAAGGAGAAAGACTAGCACTATAGCTCCAGATCCTCAATGCTGAAGCGGATGCTTTAGCCAATCTAGGATCTTCTCTTAGGATCCCACCAGAAACCAAGATCCCGATAATCCACATGATGATCCGAACAATCAAGGATCCCGCCAAAAGACTGAAGGATCCCGACGATGACGAGGTAACAACCAGCATGGCTACAAACGAAGATCCTGATCCTCAACTCCCTCATCAAGATCCTAGCATCAAGGATCCTTCCCCAACCTCAAGATACTAGATTCAACCCATTGTGGAATATCTCCAAAAT